TCCTAGGGGATTTTCCCTTTTTTTCCAATGCGTGTAAAGCAGATCTGCTTTTTTAGATTGCATCATTAGTGCTTTTATTTTTCCTGAACCCAAAAATTGGGCGGGGTTGATATGTTTTGTGACGTTATAAATGAATACAGTCTCCTGTGCACGAGTTTCTAAAAGATTTTGGATACAATGGTAAGTTTGATATTGCCTATAGTTGTTTTAAACTGAGGGGCACCCCTTTTTTTTTGTGTAAATCTTGCCGTCTTTAGTATTTCGGGGGAAAGGGTTTTAGTTTTTAGTGACTTGTTAAAAAATAAGAATAATATGCGAGAGGGCATGGGGCCACCCTTGTAAATAAATGGTGGGACATGAGACAGATTCCCCGATTATTTTTTTAAATGACTTTTTAAATTTTGGGGACTTTCCCTGGCTCGTTGGAACAAGATATATGGGAATTTGGGAAATTCCCATTAGGTTCCCCGGGGAGGGCATTGGGATGGGATTTTATTTGGCGAGATTAGAACCTATGGTTAAGAAAAAGTCATTTACTTGTTTGCTGTGTCGTGGGTTGCAGTGGTGTTCATTAGTTTAGTTGGGCAATATTTTGGGTTTTTTTTTAGTTTGGGGTCCCTAGAATCTAGAAGTGTTTTTTCCCGGGGCTTTTTTATTCTCCTCTTGTGCAGTGAATTACTGGAGTAGAAAGTTTTTGGCTTTCTTTTTTTACTTTGGTGAGGGCTGATAATAGTGTTTAAAAAACCTTTGACTGTCGCAACCCCCCAAACCCGAGGTGCTCCTGGTGTCCAAAATTTTAAAAAAAAAAAAAATTATTTTTTCTCTGAAAAAAATAGAAATTTTTCCCGATTGTAAAGACACCAAAAAGCGAAATTTGATGAAAACTGCGGAAAATTTTGCTCTCGCGAAGTTTGCGACCTCGGCCGTTTACAAATTGGCGATTTCCCCACTTTTTTAGCCCATTTTTGCCCAAATTTTATTGTTCCTCGCCCAAACTCAAGGGTATTTTTTAAACTCCATTTTTCTATTGATTTAGTACAAAAAACTGCCCATTTACCCATTCAACTACCTAATAATGTGGTCAGAAATTTGCAATTTGGCCAATTTCACGAAAACAAAAAAAATATGACAATTTCAAAATAAGGTCCAGAATGAACAATGCAGACATTCCTGGCTCTAAAATAACATTTTCTTTGCTCTCAGTAAAGTCTCCATTCCCCTCTGATATTACTCTTGCTTTCTATTTTGAATTTTTATTCAAACAAAAAATAGAAGACTTGCTATTATGCAGACTACTGCAATACTGTAATAATTGTATAAATAACATCAACCCATTCATGACTGCATATTAGAATGGCTAGTTGGACATTTATTGGACAATGGCATCATTTGTTTACTTTTGAACATTGGCAAAAATCAAACATTTCCCCTACTTTGAGCTCCATTTCTAGGTTCTTTTTATAGTAAAATCAGTCAAAATCACCTCTATTTCTATAATATGTTTTCCATTCTATCAAGTGAGACCAAGAAAACGAGAATACAATCATAAATACTATACGAAAATAGACCACAAAATCTGCATTTTAATTAAAAAAATCGTTCAGAGTTTTTTTTTTCTCATTATGCACTGCGTGCTCCAGGATTTTTTTTATATGGTGCACACTGATCACACAGACCCATTCTCTCACATGTGGGCATACCAGCTTTCTCCTGCTTGATTTGAAGCCGCTAGAATTTATGAGTATGTATACGTCAAACACGGTACCTCGTAAGATGTATATATACGGCCGCGACAGTCAAAGTGTTAAGAATATCTTTGTGTATTAAGCCCTGTCTATATGCTTTTCATATTGGTGTTTCTTATCATTGGATTTCAGAATGGTGCTGGTTAGCCATGGGCAACCAAGCTGTTTGTTTGTGATCTGTTTCGTTTTTATAGGACATTGTTTGTTGTATAGTCTAAGTAGTTTGTTAAGAAAAATGTCTGTCCAGTCATCAATACCATTGGCCTTGGAGAATTCTGTAGGCCAGTCAACAGTCTCTAGGTCAGCTGTGAACTTCCTTATTGAGGCCTCATCATGGAGTCTAAACAATATGTATTAATTAAAACAAAGGGTTCTATGCCGGCTCCGAGCAAACAGTAAGTAGAATGGGGTCACTTGACCATCCAATCTTCTCACCAACAAATCAAGAGTGTCCTATGACAGTTCCCTTGATATAATAAAGAGCTCAATGAAACAAATTGTCATTGGAAAATCTCGGGTCCCTAGAGTCTAATCCTCCAAAGTGTTTCAAGCTCACACAAAAATAGATGACAGAATAAACTAGTATTCCTGCCTTGACTTGACTTACAATAAATTGAGACTATAACAATCACCAAATCTTACAAATACCTGTACTGTAGTCCTACCATAGAGAATGATTACTCATGGCTGGTGGTAACCGTCTGTGGTATGCGGCGTTGAAGTTCCAATGGTAGATTCGAGATGGGTTGAATCTTGATTCAGTCAAGTTGATCCTGGCAAGGTCGCCACTTGTGAAGGCTTACTCAGCCCTGTAACAATTCAGAAGTATTACCAAGGCTGGCTCCCCTCAGGAAAATTAATGTATAGAAAAAGAATAAAAATGACAAACATAAACACTTTATTATATAGAAAATATAAAATATAAAACATTTAAAATATGAAATATTAATCCTACGTTAAAGAAAATGAAAAATGAAAAATATAAATGATAACTGAATTCAACGCTAATATGAAACTTGGGTGTCTGGTGTTGGTGACACTGTGTTGTTGAAATCGTAGCCGTTGCTGATGATGGGGGGGGGTCGCAGGTGTTGGTTACAACCCACCGATTCGTTCTTCACAGTATTGCCGTGAGTATTATATCCCGATGACAGGAAAGCAGGTTCTTTACCACTGCAATGATGAGGGATTACATCCTGCAATTTCATACAGGTGCACAGGTAATTAAATCCAAAAAGGGGAAGTCTCAGGACGTTAGTCCATCTCCATCAGTTCTACTTGTTGATTGGCAGGTGACCCTCTCTGTCATCCAAGATTAGTGCTGGGAGCTGTGAGTCTAGTGATTACTGTTTGGATCGGAGCCCCACACATCACCTTTTCGGGGGGGGGAAGAAGGAGGGGAAGGGATAGCAGGAGCTAGACTGACCCTACGTTAACAAGCAGCCGGCAGTCAAACTATCATTTTCGGGGTGGGGGAAAAAAGGCGGGAATAGCGGGAGCTTGACTTACCCTACCTTAACAAGTAGCCGGCAATGAAACTATTGTTGCTATATACTCCCTCGCTGCTCCTATCTATTGAACTTTTCCCTCACAACCACCCTTCCTGTTGACCCTATCAGTGTGGAATAGTTTATAACCCTTTATGCTACATTCAGAAGGCATTTCTCTATCCTTCATGTTGAACCAGTTCTCAGTTATATCAATAATGTCAATATTACCTGCACTTGCAAGTAATCTTATTTCTCAGACTCCTACTATTTGTATAGTAAACCTTAGTTGCTCGTTCCCCTCTGCTGTCTATCTCTGTTTGTTGATCAGTTGCTTTGCCTTTATTAGGAACTTTATTTTGAATATTGTCTTTTAAATATATCCCTGAGTTATCCTGGTAATATTTTCTGTTTCCAAGAGTAATACTGCAGCCTGATTGTTTCCCACAAACTCCCATACCTCTATAATCTATCAGTTTAAAGTCCTAGACAAATCATCAGTTACCCCCTCAATCGAATTGGCTAATGCAACCACTCCAACCCCAGAGAGATGAACCCCATCCCTTGCATACATATCATGTTTGCCATAGAATTTGTCACAGTTATCAATGAATGGGATTGCAAGTTCCTTGTAGTACCTGTCTAGCCAGCAATTTATGCCAATTGCCCTAGACATCCGTTCATTGCCCACTTCCCTTCTAGACAAGATGCTACATGTGATAGTGATCCCTCCCTTAGACCTGACTACTTCTATGGCTGACCTGTACTTATCTAGTAGCTCCTGTCTCCTGCCCTTCTCAATGTCATTTCAGACACCAGCACTAAGACAGATAATAGGCTTTTTCCCATTACCTGATATAATATTATCCAACCTGCTGACTCTGTCACCAACACCAGCTCCTGGGAGGCACACTCTCTGTCTGACTTTTCTATCTCTGCTACAAAAAGCACCGTCCATATATTTTACCTGAGAGTCTCCCACAATCAGAATATTCTTACCTTGATAAGCAAAAGAGTCAGAGGTACCTTTAACCTCACAAACCAGTGAAGTACACTCTTCTTGGAGAACAGAGAATCAATTTCCTACCTTCACATCTTCTTTATTAACCCTCCTTATCTTCCTTCTTCCTGAACTGTGAACCACTTGCCACTTCAAGTGGCTGCCACTCTCACTGGTGGTAAGCATTTCCTCACACTCACTCCCAAACACATCTATGCAAAACTTCAGCCTCCTATTTTCCTCCTGAACAAGTAGAACCTCCTCCTTCTACACTTTAATCTGAGATTCTGAAACACTACAACAAGCCATGGTGCTTGGTAACGCCCCACGCTAATACCCAGACAGCTCAGAACAGGTGTGAATATAAACATACAGGGAGGGGGTAAAGGAGGGTTTGTGTGTGAGGGGCTTAAACATCTACGAAGTGTGTGTGAGAGTGTTAGATAAGAGTGAGTGGAGGCATGTGGCTTTTATAACTTGACATGCTGTTGGAGTGTGAGCCGAGTAACATTTATGAAGGGATTCAAAGAGATTTGATAGCCAGACTTGAGTCCTGTAAGAGGGAAGCACAGTGCCTGCAGTCTAGAGGAAGAGTGAAGACACTGCAGCTTGGAGGGTCATCTGAGCAGTGGTATCAGCACACTTTTGGCAGGATTGATTGATTGAACCATGGTTAATGTGCTTCCGTTTCTTTTGGGTCACAACATCTTGGTAGGAGACGGATTGTGAGTTGAAGAATGTGACCACATACAGTATCTTGAGTTTAAACATATGCATAACTTTCTATTTTAGGTATTGGATAAAACCTGTGAAGCTGTCGAGACAGAGTTAAGGTTGAGCACTCACTCTCACCTTCAACTGGATAGTCGCAACCCCTTCCAGACACCACTCAAGGATATTTCTCCTGTGCTGTGCCTGCAGCCACTCACGTTACTTAATTCTCTCATTTCAGTAAAAGGTACGTAATGAATGCGTCAAGGTTTTTATGTTGAGTTATGACAGACTTGAAACTGGTTAGCCAGAGTTGAGTACAGGAGGTGGGAAGAATAGTGCCTGCACTCTGATGGAGGGGTGGTGGGAAGAGCAGGGTCTGCACTCTGAAGGAGGGGTGGTGCTGGGAATAGCAGTGCCTGCGCTCTGAAGGAGGGGTGGTGGGAAAAGAAATGCTTGCACTCTGAAGGAGGGGTGGTTGACTCGACTCGGTGGTGGTGGGAAGAGCAGTGTCTGCACTTGGAAGGAGGGGTGGTAGTGGGAAGAGCAGGGCCTGTACTCTGAAGGAGGGGTGGTGGTGGGAAGAGCAGTGTCTGCACTCTGAAGGAGGGGTGGTGATGGGAAGAGCAAGGCCTGCACTCTGAAGGAGGGGTGCTGGTGGGAAGAGCAGTGCCTGCACTCTGAAGGAGAGGTGGAGATGGGAAGAGCAAGGCCTGCACTCTGAAGGAGGGGTGCTGGTGGGAAGAGCAGTGCCTACACTGAAGGAGGGGTGCTGGTGGGAAGAGCAGTGCCTGCACTCTGAAGGAGGGGTGGTAATGGGAAGAGCAGTGCCTGCACTCTGAAGGAGGGGTGGTGGTGGGAAGAGCAGTGCCTGCACTATAAAGGAGGGGTGGCGATGGGAAATAGTGCCTGCACTATGAAGGAGGGGTTGAGGTGGGAAATAGTGCCTGCGCTATGAAGGAGGGGTGGAAGTGGGAAATACAGTGCCTGCACTATAAAGGAGGGGTGGAGGTGGGAAGTACAGGTCGGCCATCACTAATCTGGCAATCAGTTATCCAGTTCTAACAGTAATCTGGCACTAATTTTGGCTAGCATAATTTCAAATTTCATCATTATACTTATTCAGATCATTATACTGACTCAAATTTCATCATTATACTGATTCAGATCATTATACTGACTCAAATTTCATCATTATACTGATTCAGATCATTATACTGACTCAAATTTCATCATTATAATGACTCAGAAATTGTGCAGATGGTTGTAAATCCACAGCAGCAAACCAGTGGAGGAGAAAGCAGTGATGAAAATGAGGAAGATGTAGCAGAAAGAGTCTCTGTTGATAGGTTAATTAACCCTTTGACTGTTTCGGTCGTATATATACATCTTACGAGCCAATGTGCTTGACATATTAATACGCCAAAATTCTAGCAGCTTCAGATCAAGCAGGAGAAAGCTGGTAGGCCCACATGTGAGAGAATGGGTCTCCATGGTCAGCGTGCGCACTATAAAAAAAAATTGGGTAGCCAGTGGTGCATTGTGGTAATGCCATTTCAGTAGTCCTTGTTCAGCATGCCTAGCGGTAAGAAATATGTGACATCCAGGTGAATCTGGGACTTCTCTTCCCAAGTGATCACTGACAGATGGAAGTGTCAGTGAAGATGAATTTCATGGTTTTGAGGAGTTTGTGACTGAGAGCAATGCCCAGGATACCAGAAGAAAGAAAGAAAGAAGGAGAAAGAAAGAAAGAGAAAGGAAGAAAGGAAGAGGAAGAAAGAAAGAGAAAGAAAAAGAAAGAAAGAGAAAGAAAGAAAAAGGAAGAAAGAAATAGAAAAAAGAGAAAGAAAAAGAAAGAAAGAGAGAAAGAAAAAGAAAGAAAGAATGGTAGGTAGTTAGAAGGAGGTGGGGAGGAAGACAAGTGACCCCATGGGTGTTGACAGCCAGTAAGGGTAGTGAGTCGTGGCATAATATGTCATTTTAACAGCTGCTGGCCCCCTTGCTCAGCACATTTAGGAGTGTACACACACACACACACACACACACACACACACACACATGTACACACAACCTGACGACACTGGAGGACAGGAGAGATAGGGGGGACATGATAACGACATACAAAATACTGAGAGGAATTGACAAGGTGGACAAAGACAGGATGTTCCAGAGATTGGACACAGTAACAAGGGGACACAGTTGGAAGCTGAAGACACAGATGAATCACAGGGATGTTAGGAAGTATTTCTTCAGCCACAGAGTAGTCAGTAAGTGGAATAGTTTGGGAAGCGATGTAGTGGAGGCAGGATCCATACATAGCTTTAAGCAGAGGTATGATAAAGCTCACGGCTCAGGGAGAGTGACCTAGTAGCGATCAGTGAAGAGGCGGGGCCAGGAGCTCGGACTCGACCCCCGCAACCTCAACTAGGTGAGTACAACTAGGTGAGTACACACACACACACACACACCTAGCCAAGCATGTAAAGAAACTAGAGAAAGTGCAAAGGTTTGCAACAAGACTAGTCCCAGGGTTAAGAGGTATGTCCTATGAGGAGAGGTTAAGGGAAATCAACCTGACGACACTGGAGGACAGGAGAGATAGGGGGGACATGATAATGACTTACAAAATACTGAGAGGAATTGACAAGGTGGACAAAGACAGGATGTTCCAGAGACTGGACACAGCAACACGGGGACACAGTTGGAAGCTGAAGACACAGATGAATCAAAGGGATGTTAGGAAGTATTTCTTCAGCCACAGAGTAGTCAGGAAGTGGAATAGTTTGGGAAGCGATGTAGTGGAGGCAGGATCCATACATAGCTTTAAGCAGAGGTATGATAAAGCTCATGGTTCAGGGAGAGTGACCTAGTAGTGACCAGTGAAGAGGCGGGGCCAGGAGCTTGGACTCGACCCCTGCAACCTCAACTAGGTGAGTACAACTAGGTGAGTACACATACAGACACACACACGTATGTGCGCACACACACACACACACACACACACACACAAGGTGGACAAAGACAGGATGTTCCAGAGATTGGACACAGTAACAAGGGGACACAGTTGGAAGCTGAAGACACAGATGAATCACAGGGATGTTAGGAAGTATTTCTTCAGCCACAGAGTAGTCAGTAAGTGGAATAGTTTGGGAAGCGATGTAGTGGAGGCAGGATCCATACATAGCTTTAAGCAGAGGTATGATAAAGCTCACGGCTCAGGGAGAGTGACCTAGTAGCGATCAGTGAAGAGGCGGGGCCAGGAGCTCGGACTCGACCCCTGCAACCTCAACTAGGTGAGTACAACTAGGTGAGTACACACACACACACACACACACATGCACACACACACACACACACACACACACACACACACACACACACCACATATGCACACACACACACACACACATGAGCCAGCAAGACTGGATCTTGTGTTCACCCTGAGCAGTTCAGACATCGAGGACATCACTTACGAGAGGCCCCTTGGAGCTAGCGATCATGTGGTTCTGAGTTTTGACTATATAGTAGAGTTACAAGTGGAGAAGGTAACAGGAACTGAAGGGGACAGGCCAAACTATAAAAGGGGGGACTACACAGGTATGAGAAACTTCCTGCAGGAGGTTCAGTGGGACAGAGAAATGGTAGGAAAATCAGTAAACGAGATGATGGAATATGTGGCAACAAAGTGCAAGGAGGCAGAGGAAAGTTTTGTTCCCAAGGGAAACAGAAATAATAGGAAGACCAAGACGAGTCCTTGGTTTTACCCGAAGGTGTAGGGAGGCAAAAGCTAAGTGCAACAGAGAATGGAAAAGGTACAGAGGCATAGGACCCAGGAAAACAAGGAGATTAGTAGAAGAGCCAGAAACGAGTATGCGCAGATAAGGAGGGAGGCCCAGAGACAGTATGAAAACGACATAGCATCGAAAGTCAAATCTGACCCGAAACTGCTGTATAGCCACATTAGGAAGAAGACAACAGTCAAGACCAGGTGATAAGGCTGAGGAAAGAAGGTGGGGAACTCACAAGAAACGATCAAGAGGTATGTGAGGAGCTCAACACGAGATTTAAGGAAGTATTTACAGTAGAGACAGGAAGGACTCTGGGGGGACAGACCAGATGGGGACACCAACAAGGAATAAACCAACAAGTGTTGGACGACATACATACAGATGAGGAGGAGGTGAAGAAACTGCTAAGGGACATCGATACCTCAAAGGCAATGGGACCGGACAACATCTCTCCATGGGTCCTTAGAGAGGGAGCAGATATGTTGTGCGTACCACTTACCACAATCTTCAACACATCCCTGGAAACTGGGCAACTACCTGAGGTATGGAAGACAGCAAATGTAGTTCCCATTTTCAAAAAAGGAGACAGAAAAGAGGCACTAAACTATAGACCTGTGTCATTGACGTGTATAGTATGCAAAATTATGGAGAAGATTATCAGGAGGAGAGTGGTGGAGCACCTGGAACGGAACAGGAGTATAAATGCCAACCAGCACGGATTCACGGAAGGCAAATCCTGTGTCACAAACCTTCTGGAGTTTTATGATAAAATAACAGAAGTAAGACAAGAGAGAGAGGGTGGGTTGATTGCATCTTCTTGGACTGCAAGAAGGCCTTTGACACAGTTCCTCACAAGAGATTAGTGCAGAAGCTAGAGCATCAGGCGCATATAACAGGAAGGGCACTGCAATGGATCAGAGAATACCTGACAGGGAGGCAACAACGAGTCATGGTACGTAATGATGTATCACAGTGGGCACCTGTGACGAGCGGGGTCCCACAGGGGTCGGTCCTAGACCATGCTATTTTTGGTATATGTGAACGACATGACGGAAGGGTTAGACTCAGAAGTGTCCCTGTTTGCAGATGATGTGAGTTAATGAGGAGAATTAAATCTGATGAGGACCAGGCAGGACTTCAAAGAGACCTGGACAGACTGACACCTGGTCCAGCAAATGGCTTCTCGAATTTAATCCTGCCAAATGCAAAGTCATGAAGATAGGGGAAGGGCACAGAAGACCACAGACAGAGTATAGGCTAGGTGGCCAAAGACTGCAAACCTCACCCAAGGAGAAAGATCTTGGGGTGAGTTAACACCGAGCATGTCTCCGGAAGCACACATCAATCAGATAACTGCTGCAGCATATGGGCGCCTGGCAAACCTGAGAACAGCATTCCGACACCTTAGTAAGGAATCATTCAAGACACTGTACACCGTGTATGTCAGGCCCATACTGGA